CCGTCGCCTCGGCCCCGCCCCGCCGTCTCCCGCCGTCGCGGTTTTCCTGCTGCTGCTGGGGAGACTGGACAGTCCGGACGCAGGAGGAATCAGCCCAGCACAGCAGCTGCGGCCGATCGGATCGTGGCCAGACCCTGACCCGTCCCTCCTCACTGGGCTGGGCCTCCCTGCAGGAGTTCCAGCAGCTCCTGCCAGGGGTTCAGGGACCGAACTCTCAACTCCATGGGACTGAGCCCCTGGGAGGAGGGGTAGCCATGATCTCCGTGAATCAGCAGACCTAGTCTTTCCCCGTTTGCTCTGAGGAATCCCAGGAGCCAGAATGAGTGCACTAAATTGAATCATTAGCACTAGTGTATTAAACAAAATAAAGATTCTTTAAGGTATTTAAAAAATACCCAGCACACCACACCCTCTCCATCAAGGGACAGCCCCAGCAGCAGGGGTGGCCAGACGTCGTGTACAAGACTGCTCTGCAGCCTCCGCAGGTAACACCGCCAGGTGCCGGAGGGGCCCAGGCAAATAGGATGTGGAGTGGACCCCCAGCAAAACACAGCAGCCCTGTGGAAGGGGGACCCGACTGTTAAAAGTAAAACAAACAGAAAGCAACAAAAAAAGTCCCCACAAAAACATCATCCAAAGGTCAGTAGCCTCAAAGCTAGACAAACTCATGAAGATGAGAAAGAATCAATTAAAAAAATGCTGAAAACTCAAAAAGCCAGAGTGTCTCTTCTCCTCCAAATGATTGCAACACCTCTCCACAGAACTGGAAGGAGGCTAAGATGGATGAATTGACAGAAGTAGGCTTCAGAGGGTGAGCAATAACAAACTTCGCTGAGCTAAAGGAGCATGTTCTAAACCAATGTAAAGATGCTAAGAACCATGATAAAACATTACAGAAGCTATTGACCAGAATAACCAGTTTAGAGAGGAACGTAAATGATCTGATGAAGCTGAAAAACACAACACACTGCAAACATCAATAACCAAATAGAATAAGCGTAGGAAAGAATTTCAGAGCTTGAAGACTATCTTGCTGAAATAAGACAAGATTAGAGAAAAAGAATTAGAAAACAAGTAGAAAAAAAGAATTAGAAAAAAAGAAGTAGAAAATTAGAGATAAAGAACACACATAGGCTCAAAACAAATTTGCTAAGCAGCAAAAAGCAGGGATTGCAATCCTAGTTTCTAACAAAACAGATTTTAAACCAACTAAGATCAAAAAAGACAAAGAAGGGCTTTACATAATGGTACAGGGATCAATTCAACAAGAAGAGCTAACTATCCTAAATATATATACACCCAATACAGGAGCACTCAGATTCATGAAACAAATTCTTAAAGACCTACAAAGAGACTAAGACTCTGACACAGTAATAGTGGGAGACTTTAACACCCCACTGTCAATATTAGATCATCAAGACAGAAAATTTAAAAGGATATTCAGGAGTTGAACTCAGCTCTTGGTCAAGTAGCTCTGATACATATTTATAGGACTCTCCACCCCAAAACAACAGAATATGTATTATTCTAAGTGCCACATGGAACTTACTCTAAAATTGATTACATAATTGGAATTAAAGCACTCCTCAGTAAATGCAAAAGTACTGAACTAATAACAAATGGTCTTTCAGATCACAGTGTAATCAAATTAGACCTCAAGATTAAGAAACATACTCAAAACCACTCAGCTACATGGAACTTGAACAATCTGCTCCTGAATGACTGCTGGGTAAATAATAAAATTAAGACAGAAATCAAGAAAGTATTTGAAACCAATGAGAACAAACCCAGAATCCCTGGGACACAGCTAAAGCAGGGTTGAGAGAGAAACTTTATGGCACTAAATGCCTACATAAAAAGCTAGAAAGATTTCGGATCAACACCTTAACATCACAATTAAAGAACTCGATAACCAAGAGCAAACAGAATGAAAATCTAACAGAAGACAAGAAATAACCAAGATCACAATGGAACTGAGGAGAAAGAAGAGCCTTCAACAATTCAATGAATCTTCAGGCTTGTTTTTTGAAAAACGTAATTTAATAAACCACTAGCTAGACTAATAAAGCAGAAAAGAAAAAAATAGACACAATAAAAAATGATAAGAGGATATCATCACTGACCCCACAGAAATAAAAAGAACCATCAGAGAATACTATAAACACCTCTATGCAAATAAACTAGAATATCTAGAAAAAAGGTATAAATTCCTAGACACAGACACCCTCCCAAGACTAAATCAGGAAGAGGTTGAATCCCTGAATAGATCAATAGCAAGTTCTGAAATTGAGGCAGTAACAGCCTACCAACCAGTAAAAGTTCAGGACCAGATAGATTTACAGCTGAATTTTGCCAGATGTGCAAAGAGGAGCTGGCACCATTTATTCCGAAACTATTCCAAACAATTTGGAAAGGAGAGACTTCTTCCTAACTCATTTTATAAGGCGAGCATCATACTGATAACAAAACCTGGCAGAGATACAACAGCAACCACAACAAAAACCTCAGGCCAATATACTTGATGAACATAAATGCAAAAGTCCTCAATAAAATATTGACAAACTGAATCCAGCAACACATTAAAAAGTTTATCCACCACCATCGAGTCAGCTTCATACCTGGGATGTAAGGCTGGCTCAACATAGGCAAATCAATAAGCATAATCCATCACATAAGCAGTACTAAAGACAAAAATCACACGATTATCTCAATAGATTCAGAAAAAGCTTTTAATAAAATTCCACATCCTTTCATGTTAAAAACTCTCAATGAACTAGGTATTGATGGAACATATCTAAATAAGAGCCAATTATGACAAATTCACAGTCAATATCATACTGAATAGGCAAAATCTGGAATAATTTCCCTTGAAAACCAGCCAAGAAAAGGATGCCCTCTGTCACCACTCCTGTTCAACATAGTATAAGAAGTTCTGGCCAGGGCAATCGGGCAAGAGAAAGAAATAAATGGTATTCAAATAGGAAGAGAGGAAGTCAAATTGTCTCTGTTTGCAGATGGCATTCTGCTATAACTAGAAAACCCCATTTTCTCAACTCAAAACTCCTTAAAGCTGATAAGCAACTTCAGCAAAGTCTCAGGATACAAAATAAATGTGCTAAAATCACACACATTCCTGTATACCAACAATAGATGAGAAGGGAGCCAACTCATGAATGAACTTCCATTTACAATTGCTACAAAAAGAATAAAATACCTAGGAATAGGGCTAAGAACGGAAGTGAAAGACTTCTTCAAGGAGAGCTACAGACCACTG